TAAGATGGTTTTTTAAGGTTGTTGCATCATATTATTATACAACGGTTGCATGAAATCATTGCTCTATAAATAAACCTATTTAACATTTTTACATGTTCTTTTGTTTGGTCTCAAAAAGCCCATCTAAATACATAGGATCAAGACTAAGAATAGTTAAAAATGGGTAAAATACAAAGCATATATTTTGATTAATTTTGCTCAAGTGAAATGCTCCAAAGCAAACTATGCTCGAAAACAGCAGTGGACCGTGCAGTTGTTAAATAATCAAAGCTTAAATTCATGTTGTTTTTCTTTTAGAGTTGGTCACAAAATAAATAAAAACTAAGATTTAAAAACCTTCAAGTCATAAAAATCCCCCACCTTGGTTCTTTGGTCTACAAAATGTTCTACCCCACTAAAAAGAACGAAAAACAAAACAAAAAGAACAAAAAAAAGAAAATAAAATGGATCCAATGGACGCTTTCTCCATAAATCAATGTTAGTGTTGTTATTTTACCCAGAATGAAATTCAATAAAGTGGAGCACTCACCAAATAAAAATAACATTAATAATAATGATAATAATAATAACAGCAATAATGGCCCTCTCCATGCATACGTACAAAACACTATTTTCCTATGAAAGGCTATTTTTTCAAACATCTTGGTGAAAGTTAGGTAATTTAAATAATTTCCCGACATTGATAATGAGCATAAGTGGTGTGTATGGAGAGAGACAGAACTTACTCATATGAAAAGCATAAACTTTGGATGTATGGTATAGATGCCAATCCAATTATGTTTATGGAAAATACACTCTTTAAAAATTGTTGACATGACTTGAGGCCTTTGTCATATTGGATTTGGGAGCTAAGTAAATTCCATTCTTTCTAATCCCGATCTCTTATTCTTCATAATTTTTAAATTTTACCATCATCAGATGAGGTTTACCCAATTTATATAAAGGTCTGTTTGTAAATTAAAAATTTATTCTCATTAAAATCCCGAGTCTCTTTTTCTTCATAAATTTTAAATTTTTTCATCATCATCCAAGCCCTGACTATATAAAGTCGACTGGTTGTAAATTTAAAATTTACTCTCATTAAAAATGTCCGCTCCAACCTTCCAACATAATTGTACAAAAAATAGAAACATTGTTAGTTTTTTGGGTACCCTTTCAATAAAAAGGAAGAAAACAATTTCTAAAAAGATAAATGATTTTGTTTCTTTTAGCTTTGAATAAGCAAACTATGCTCAAACGTAATTGGAAGTTTTTTGGGTACCCTTTCAATAAAAAGGAAGAAAACAATTTCTAAACAGATAAATGATTTTGTTTCTTTTAGCTTTGAATAAGCAAACTATGCTCAAACGTAATTGGAAAATTTACAAGAAAAATATAAGATGCAAGTTTAACCACAAAAAACATGAAGGATATTTATCATACATTGATCATTTACGTTCTCTCCCTAATTCATTTTTAAAAAATGTTAAAGAACCCTGCTTAGGCCTCAGCCTTTGCCCGAGCTGAGTAACTCTAGTACATACCCAAAAATAGTTCATCAATGCAAAAAAAATTACAAAAATATTGTTAAAAATAAAAACCAGAAGAAGTAATAAATAATATTAGAAGTATGCAAACCCAGAAAAATGTGTAAAGTAGAGACTATGGGAAAAATTCCTATGTAGCAAAAAAAAAGAGTATTTTAACACTTTTTTTTCTTTTTTAAGTTCTGTAGTCAACTTGAGATATAATCGTTGCATATGTCGACTGCAAACCACTCAAGCCAATCTTTTTAATAACTATTTCAAATGTCAGCCATTAACCACTCAAATTCAACTTTTTAATAACTATTTCAATTTTTGATTTTTTTCTTGCATTCATTTCCTTTATTGATTTTCAAAAGAATTTTCAAGAAACTCCCAAAAAACCAAAATTTTGAAAAATCCCTCTCCAAACACATTTCCAAGGATTTCATAGAAGAATATTTCTTTTTCTGAACAAATTTCATAGAAGAATATTTCCTACAGTGACGTTTTTGAATTCTGATACTAACATTTTAACTGAAATTATTTGTAAAATTTTTAAATAATAAAATAAATATAATAAGGGGAGTTCGAAGTTCGAACCTTTAACGAGTGGGACCTGAAGCAAATTCCTTAGAACACATCGATTATTCACATAATTTTGGATTCTTGGGCCTTCGAATCTCTCATTCTCCATGAATCTCTGCAACAAGACTTGAAATTGCTGAAATTCCATGGCAATTTGGTCGTACGAATACGGTCTTTCTCGTACTTCACGAAACTTGAGGTATTGCCATTGAAGGAACTCCCAAGACAGGCATACCTGACCAACATAGACTGTTTCTAATTCACTCTGCAACTCTTTGATGAATTTCAAAGATGGGCCTTTCTCACTTCTCTTTCCTCTGCAAAGCCCGAAATTTTGGAGCAGGATTGAGCTCTTTTGCAAGGATACCGATCGGAGGTGGTCCTTGGATTGTGGAAATCCTGATATATGATAGAGAAAGAATGTAAGAGATATTAGTTATCTTGGTTATTGATTTGAGAATTGAGATCATATGTTAATGAGAGAAAAGAATCAGTATTGAATAGCTTCTCTCTCTTTCACTGTATCATAGAGATAGAGAGAGAGAGAGTTTTGGGCAGCAATTCAAACATACTCCATCTGGTGGGAGTCACCCGAGACAAACCTGATCAGGAGGCTGGCAATTCTGTGCCAAAAGATCCCAGAATCGCCCGAGTCTTTGATTTTTCTAGTAGTTTGAGCTTGTTGTTCTTTTTTTTGTTACTGTAGTTCAATCTGCTTCAATAGTCACCCGAGTCGGACTGGGCAAATTAGGTTTGGACCCCGGTGAGTCGGAGCCAGACTCCGATTTTTTAAATCACTGATTTTGTGAATCATTCACGATAAGACCTTTATGCATGAATTTACCCAAAAAAATACCTTTATGCATGAATTCCAACTTAAAAGATGGTGGTGGTTGTTGTAGGAATAATTCTAAAAGAAAAGGAAGGTAAAATGAAGCTTCCTTCAATTCCAGTTTATAAAGTAGCAATCAATTAAAGAAACACAAGTACTCTCACTTTCCTCAAGCAACATTTAAATAGCTCCTTAGTTTCAGATTTATTTTAAAAGAAGACTTTTAGAATAAATGGCATTGAAAGTTCAGGCGATGGATGGAATTTTCTCTGTTCCAAACTAATCAATGATTGTGAATCTGGTAAAGTATGACATTTTAAAAATATATTTAACTAAGATACAGTTAGATATATCAAATTAGCAACTATAATCAACATAAAAAATGAGAGAATTATTTTTTAGCACAAAAGTCTTACCCATTGCATACATCTTCTGATAATTCAAGATATCAAATTTCCTCATTCTCTCTCTGTAACTCTTGTAAAATTTCTCCAATTCATCAATTGGGTCCTCCTGCAAAAGCTTTTCTTCAAAGGACCACGGCTTCAAATCATCAACCATTTTTGGGCACTCTGATTCTTCCATGATAGTAGGCAAACCAGTTGCCCTAACCTTTCTAATCTCGGATCTCAACTGTTCAATGAGATCTTGGTGCTCCCATAGAGCTTCCAATGAAACGTCAGAGCCTTCGTTTTCTTCCGAATTCAAATTCTTGAATTGGGTTTTGTCTGGTTCCTTGAAATCATCAGTAAAATCTGAATTTGGCGGGGAGAAACTATGGTATTTTTCATTAGAAAAAATTTGATCTCTGTGAAATTCTCTGTTCTCACTGAAGTAATTAAAGTTCGAGTCCATGATTTTCTCCATATATGTCCGAGTATCTGGAACTGGCTTGTTCAAGATATTTGATAAGAACTGTTCTTCATCAGAGAGAAGTTCTTCACTCATGAATTCATAATCTGAACTTATGATGGGTTCATCTGATGCATCTTTCTCACTCAAGAAGTCAAGAACTGGACTAACATTTGTTTCTTCACTACTTGCGTCATTCTCTCTCAAGAAATCATATTCTGGACTTACAATTGTTCCTTCACCAGTCATATCTTTCCCCCTCAAGAAATCATGCTCTGGACTCACAATTATTTCCTCACTAATCATGTCTTTCTTTCTCAAGGAGACATGCTCAGAAATTACAGTGTGTTCTTCATGAGACATATCTTTCCCATATAAGAAAACTCGGTCTGGACTTACAATTGTTCCTTCACTTGTCACATCTTTCTCTCTCAAGAAATCATGCTCTGGACTCTCAATTGTTTGTTCACTAATCATGTCTTTCTCTCTCAAGGAGACATGCTCTGAATTTACAGTGTGTTCTTCATGAGATATATCTTTCCCATATAAGAAAACTGTGTCTGGACTTACAATTGTTCCTTCACTAGTCACATCTTTTTCTCTCAAGAAATCATGCTCTGGACTCTCAATTGTTTGTTCACTAATCATGTCTTTCTCTCTCAAGGAGTCATGCTCTGAAATTACAGTGTGTTCTTCATGAGAAATATCTTTCCAATATAAGAAAACTGGGTCAGGACTTACAATAGTTTCTTCACTAGTCACAGTTTGCTCTCTTAAGAAATCATTTTCTGGACTTCCAATCGCTTCCTGTCTAAGTATGTCTCTCTCTCTCAAGATCTCATGCTCTGAACTTGCAGTTTGTTCTTCCTGAGAAAGATCTTTCTCACACAATAAAATCGGATCCGAGCTCATGGTTACTTCATCTTTCATGTCATTCTCACTCAAGGAATCATGTTTTGGAACAGAACTTTGTTCTTCATGAGACATACCTTTCTCACTGAAGAATTCGTGGACTAAAGTCACAACTGCTTCTTCTTTAGAGGTTTTTCTGCTAAAATTAAGAGCTTCTTTTTTATCCATGGATTCATCAAGGTCTTTCTCTGATGGAAACTGATTGTTTTTATACGAATACATGGATGATTCATTGGAATGTAAAAATTCTTCCCTGAAATTTATAGCTACTGGCTCTGTTATGAAGCCAGTTAAAGCCTCTGAAGATGAAGATTGGTGCTTCTTGATTTCGATTGATGGCTTGATATCATTCTCTGAGAGAAACTCATCTCTATTAATACTTTCTGAAGTCTCTCTCTCTCTAAAATAGTTAGCATTTGAAGGGACCCCATCACTGAAATTCGAAACTTTGGATTTCGCTCCAACAATTTCAGAGCTTTTCTCAAAATGGGGCATCTCATCTTTGCTTTGTTCATCTTCCGTATCACCAATTCTATCACTCTGAAACTCTATAGACGAACCTCTATCTTCCTCAGTGCTATTTATCTTCTCAGGATAAAGGTTTTCTGACACTGATAAAACTCCCTCAATCGAATCCTGAAATAAAGAGTACTCGATCAAATCCTCTCTCTGAGAATTCTCATCTGCTTTTTGCCTGAAAGAAACAGAAAAGAAGAAAACCCATTAATTTGGAGACATGAAAAAGCCTCTATAAGTGGGTTTAAGCCATGAAAGAACAGAGCTTTACCTGAAAAGGGCTTGGACTATGGGCTTAAAGAGGCCATTTATGAAGTTGCAGAGCCAAATCCAGCAAGCATGAACAAACAAGCCCATAATTCTGCAAAATTCTTTTGACATAGACTCAAATCTCATCAATTTGAACTGGGTTTCGAACACCAAAACCTTCTGGTTCCCCATTGGATCACTGAAATAGGTTTCTTCTGATGTTTTTGGGGTCAGAGAAAAGCTGCAGAAGAAATTCCTGAACTCATTTCTCCATGGAATTTTGCAGATGAAGTGGACTTCTTACCTGTAAAATACGAGAACTTTGTTGGGTTTTTGTTGCTTCAAAACTGGGTTGATGTTCTCCTCGTTTCTCTCTAGAACCATTGAAAACAGAGTTAAAAACCATAGGTATCTGAGGCTAATGACCTGTTACCTAATTGAAACAGGGGTTTCAAACATTGGAAAATAACACCTGAGCTGAATTTAAAACCAATGACGTTGCTTAGATCACCTGAATGAGTGCAATTGGAGGAAGAAATTAGCAAAATTGTGAAAATTATTGGCTATACATTAAGAAATATTTAGACTGTAAAAGAGTCCATTTCTCTCTCTGATTTATTCTCTGCATTTTTTGAGGAGAGAGAATCGGGTTTTGTTGAGAGGGAAAATTACGCAAACTCGGTTGCCTTATTATTCGGGAGTTGAATTGAATGAGATGCCCATGACATCATTAAAAAAAAAAAATTTTTTTTGTTCGATACATCGGTGTCTTCTCTCTCTATAAATTACACCAAGTCGTTGCACACGAGAATGAAGAATTTCTCTCTAGAAATGACCGAAATTTCTTTTTCTTTTTTTCGTGGGAATATAGAGGTCACTGTATATGCTTGTCGCCATCTTTGGGAAGGAATTGAACCCCAGGCGTGGGATGCATTTCAGTTGGCTCAGTCGGCATGAGAGAGAGAGGAGGACTATGTAAACGCGGACGACATGAGAGACAGATTTTGTGCGTACGTACTGCCAAAAGTAGGGACGGCAATGAACCGACTGGACCCAGGACACGTCCAGTAGACTTGACTTCAAAGCTGGGTACGGGCCTAATTTTTGGACCCGATGAGTTAGGTTCATATCCAAAACCTAGACCTCAATATTATTCGGATTCGAGTTTAATCGGACCCCGTTTGTACCCAACTTATACCCGTAAACCGTTGGAGATAAAATATTTTATTTTGAACCTTATTTGTTTGGGTGTATTAAAAATCGTATACAATAAAAACTCGTAATCATATTTAACTATTAAATTACAAATAAACGGTTTGAAATTTAATGACGTGCGATTGTAACATTCTTGTCAATTATAGAGGTAAAAGATGGTTCAATAATAGAGGTAAAAGATGGTAAAAAAATGACAAAAAAAAAAACAACAAAAAAGCTCCGAGTCATAAGGTCGCAATGGAACCGACCAGACCTAGGACCCCACGTGTAGACTGGGACCCGACGGATACTGATATGGGTCCAATTTTTTGACCCGATGGGTTAGGTCTGGGTCTAAGTCCAACCAAACCCGACACGTTGCCACCCCTAGCCGAAAGAGTGGATTATGTAAAATCTTTTGAGTCTAGTCAATGACAAACAGACAAGAACGATTATGATCTCTTAATATTAAAAGTAAATGAGCACTTTCAATAATTTCCTTTTTTGTGATGTCAAAAGATTGGGGAGTCATTTCATGCAACGGTTGTATGATAACATAACGCAATCACACTTCTAGAAAACTATCTTTGTAGCATTTGTATGACCCAAAAAATTACATATACCCTCTCTTCATGTCAATAGTCAATTTTCAAAAAAATAAAATTCAATTTGCATCATAGATATGGTTAAAATGAGTCCCCTCCAATGTTGAATCTTGACCGACTATTTTATGAATTTCAATATCTAAACTTTTATGAACTCCGTACCATTTTTTTTTTCAACATTGTTCATCTAATGATAACACAACTATCTAAAAATTTTAAAAAGAGAAAAATCCTTCTAAGGCCTATGTCTAAGGATCTTAACAAAATGGATAGCTTATGTTGATTGGGCTAAAAAAACACTTTATAGGGTGAATTTTCAAATTTGGTTTCTTTGTGATTTGTTCAATGGAATGAAAATAGTGTACATTTAAAAATTGGGATCAAACAAATAGCACTAACATGGTTTTTGACGGTTGTTGCATTATATTACCATACAACTGTTGCATAAAATCATTCCCCAAAGATATTATATTGGAGTATACCGTTGCTCCCGTAGGTAAAATCCCATTTAGAAGTTAGAATTAATTTTAGGACCCTAAATTTTGGGGATGTTACATTTTCAACCCATGGATTAACTTCAATAAAAAAAAATTCTAATTGCATCTTCTATGCACTTTAAATATATATATATTGGGATTGAATAGAGATCAAATTTTTAGATTGTGAGTCTTAGTGTTCAAAAACTCAAATTTCAATTTTAATTTTTTTTTAAAAAATAATCGTTGATTCTTAAGTGGTTTCCAAAATTTCTGATTGAAAACCTCCTAAGTAGGTCGTTTGACCTAGAAAGTAAAAGTACATTATGCTCATGAGGGAGCATAATATATGTGTTCGTAATACCCTGGCGTGAGAGAGAGAGAGAGAGGGATTGCCATTTTTTTGTTTTGTTTCGGGCCAGTGAGTGTCTTAGTCCGTAATGGAAGTTTTGTATTTGGGGGAGAGTGAGTGGGAGAGGTTATGTAACATGGCATTGTGTTCTATTATTGATTGTATGTATCGGTATCATAGATATACACTTATGTAGATATTTTAGAAATTTAGACATTTTTTGACATTTATTTTCAAAATCGTAATATACGAGTACTAATGCTTAATGCCACCAAAAACCATGTTCCCCTATTTTAAATGATGTATATTTATATCAAACAAAGATACATTATCGGTACCTTCAAAACAAATGAGATTTATTTATTTATTATTTTTTAAAGTAGATTATATTGGTTAAGGAGCGACCACCTAATAGTTAAAACTAGAAACTCAAATGAGACTTATTTTTTAAGTTGTGAGGTGGAATTAATAAGAAGTCTCACCTACTAAATAACGGGTCAAGGGGGGAATAAGTGTGGACATGAATAGAAATTCTATGCGCTCAAAAGAAAATTCCCGGTCCACAATCAACGGTGCAGATTTACCTTAGAGAACATAAACTATGCTCCCTCGGGATTATAGTATACATTTATTTTCAAGAGGGAAACACGTGTTTAGGAAACTGTTTCCGATTTGAAATATTGGGATCCATCTCATTATAACTAGATTATTGTTTTTGAAATAAACAATCTAGTTTTGAGTTCTTGAGTATGTGTATCGGTCCCTCTAAATATTGGATGATTCCAATACAATCTTGAGATGCCTAATTTTTATGCACATAGAGAGTTTTTTTGCCTTTGAGGTTAGTTGCGAGTTCTAGAGATCACATCCCCAATTTTTGAGATCTAAAAGATATTCTTATTGTAAATTTTGCTGAAGGAGTAGATGGATTGTATACTCCGGCAAGTGTAAGAAATTTATTGGGCTTTATCAGAATCAAGGGCAAGCTTTTTATGCTTTCCCCTGCAGTATAAAACTTATATACTTCCTTTTATCCAACCGTCCATTATGAATTGAGGTCTAAGATTGCCCCAATCACAATGTCACGTCTCTACACTGTTTATTTTTAATTTTTTTCTATAAATTATTCTGATATCAAATTTTGGACGTTCAATCCTCTATTAAACTCACACTAGCGAAATATATGAAAAAATATATTTCCAATAAAATAAAATAACCAAAATACCCTTAAAAGTTTCAAAGGGTATTTTAGTCATTCTATTTTATAAAAAAATTAATTTTTTTATTTTTTATAGGTGCGCCCCAATGAGAAAATGGCACATACGAAATTTCATATTCATTTAATTTGTATAAAAGAAACTAAAAATAAAATACTTCGAGACGTTGGATCTAAGATCAAACGGTGAATGACTCTCTTGATCAAAATTTAACGGCTGGATGGTAGGGGAAGCATAGATCTTCTATGCTGTAGGGGAAGTAAAGAAACCTTTTCCCTTAATCAAATGAAAACATCCAACGTCCCAACCCCTCTTGGGCATTCAACAGTCACGATTTTGCGCTAATTCATAAGCTTGAGATGTTTGTACTCCAATTAACAGTGGGATAAATCGACGGTGACAATTCCACAAATCATGGGATCAATCTCAATGGATTCAATTCTAATCCTTCCACTTGGATGATCGTCAGTCCACATTTGTAATATGATCAAAAGACAGATTTTATGAACATCACATCCGAATCTTTCAAGTACTTGAACAGTGATGTCCCCCTAAATTTGTACATTCTTTCAAGAGCCGGCCCGGGAAACAGGCCCTCTGGAAATCTGGTCCAGATCGGCCAACTAAACCTATTCTCTTGTGTGGAAAATTTTTCCCCAAAAAAAAAATATAATTTTTGAAAAATAAAAAAGTTTAATAAAAATAAAATGGGTGAAACTTAAGAGATTCATGCTATTTGGATTGGTTGGTTTCTTGATAGACTCTTCTGGTTCTCTTACAAAACCGAGCAAGTCTATAAAAATCAGACGGATTTTTTATTTTGACTAGAAACCAGATTGATCCCCACCAATTCCCAATCCGGAATAGTGAAGTTTGAAATACAGTAAATATTGAAGGGATAACCTTTATATATATGGGATCTACAACTATCAACCTTATTTAGATAACTGGGAATGAGTTTAGAATAATAACACAAACTAGTGTCAATTGTGTCAGATGATTAACATTATTGTCCGCTTACTCCAAAACATTCTATTAAGATTTGACAACTAGATATCTTTGAACACACTTGAACATATAAATTATATGTTCAAAGAGACAAAAATATTGCCCTTAAATGCATTTTCTGGTGTCAATCCCAGAATATGCAAAATATGATCTACATACCCTTGGATCCAAACTACTAACTATCATGAAATTTTGAAACCTAAAGAATCTAAGCCCCAGTTTTGTGATTCTTAGCAACCCTTGAGCTTAGAAGTCCGAGCCCTTTTTTTTCTAGTGGTATTAATCAAAAGAAGGGTGGCCTTAACTTGTTTTATCAAGCTACATACCCTTTTTCCCAGGATGGTTTTGACTGGGTGTGCCAGTCTCGAGGGATATTTTATTGGGAGCAAACGTGAATCATGGTGCAATGGCCATGATTTGATCCCTAGGTGGACCAAGTTTGTCATTATTTGTTAACTGCAAACTTTGTAATCAGTATGTAAATTTTACTCCTAAATTATTCCAAAAAACTATCAAAGGAAATTTATCATAATCAGCTTGGACTCTTTGAATTTTTAGGGACATTTATCAAAATACTAATAAGAGATAAATTATTTATCATTTTATGTCATTAATTTGATTAAATTTCAAAACACCCATCAAAAAAACACAAGTGACACAAGTTGGAAGAGTTGCCAGTGTTAAATGTCAAATACTTGGACGCCACACCACTCATAGGAGTGGGAATTGGGTTGGGTAGACCTGACAGGGTTTGGGTGGGTATCTAGATTTCGGATTGACCCGATCCCAGTCTTGTCCGGGTCCTAAAACAGCTTAAATCTTGTTAGGTTGAGTATGGGTCAACCTGACCTATTATATATTAGTGTAAATACGTATTAATAATACTAGGGTGCTGTTTGTATAGAGCCTAGGCTCTAAACAATCAAATTAGACTCTACCTTCAAATAGTATCGAGAAATGTGGTTTCAATATTGGAAATCTCTGTGACAACCTTAAAATATACTTTCATCTTTATTTATAAAGTTTAAACCTTAAAAAACAGTGTACATTGACAGATCTATGAAAACTTA